CGCCGTGACTAGTGCGTGCGGTGCCGGCGTGGCGATGAGACGGGGCGAGGGAGCCGACTCGGCATGCGTGCGGGGAGACGCGCGCGTATCCCGACTTCCTCCCGTTTTATGGGCTTCGTCTTTTGACGAGGGAATTACGGTCGCTTGTACGGTGTGCAGGGCGTGCTGTTTAAATTCCACTCCTAGCTGGCTGAAAACCAGCTCAGTGGTCAGAGCTGGGCACCTCTCATCCTGGGAGACAGGAACGCGGAAAGCGGTATTTCAGGGAGCCCGGGTAGTTAACCTGACGCTACCCCTGCCCGTGGGTGCAGGTACGGATGGATCAAGGTCATGCTGCTTATGTGTGCAGAAACCTCATAGTGGTGTAACAACTTGTGCAAATAATTATTTTTTTAGCAGGTATAACTGTGCTCATAGGGTTTATTCTAATTGTAACTCTATTGGAACAACCTAATGATGAACACACTGGCTAAATTTAGCTCTGACATAAACAGGCACAGATGCGCTAACTTTGGTGGAGTTATTCCTGCTATTGCTGGGAAGGGGTTTGGCCTGCAAGTTAAAATCAAGATAACAGGATACAGAATGGGCGCTCTCGAGAATGGACGTAGCCCCACTTCAGCAAATGTGAATCTGTTTATGCCGGAGCTCTGTACCACAGCTCTTCTGAGGCGTTTAAAGCACTTGAAAATTGTAGTGAAAGAAGCTTTCCTAAAACTCCTATGATGAAGAAGTGTTATAGCCGTTTTCTGGATAGTGAAATTGAAGCAGAAAGAGGTTGTGAAGTAAGTGGCTCCTCCTTCAAAAAGAAAAATGAATAAATAAAAGCATGGTGGAACTGAAGCTTCTGGATTTCAATCCTGTGCTCTCCTGTGGTTCTTCCCCTAGTTCATGAAGACCTTCATAATATTTTGTAGTTCAGTTAAGAACATTTAAAAAAAAAAAAAAAAGCATTCCTGGATTGTACCAATGGTCCTTTTTAGCTCTGCTGTCTGTCTCTGATTAACACAGGGGTTAATTTTATAACTGTCAGGGTCTAAGCTCCGGGTTCCAGTTCAGCCTCTCCTATGCTGGGAGGTAGCTGATGCAAGTGAAAGTCCTGATAGTGGCAATAGGGGGCCACTATTTAGTGACAGGATGTGAGCCTGCTTCCTGCAGTCCTTTCCTCTTACAGGCCCCGGCATATATCTGTATCTAATTGTGCCCTCGCTCTCTCTTTTTTTATGATTGTCATACAGAATTACGCGATAGAGGGACTCTTGGTGTGACCCAGAAGGGTATTTCTGATGTCCTCGCTTTCCAGTGTGGCTTATGTTTTATCGGTTCAAAGGTCAGGACGTGAGTGAGAATGGTTGATGACCAAGCTCCCTTTGCTCTCCTCCGCTCTGAGTTTTAACACAAGTGAAACATCTCAAAAGCTACAGCTGAAAAACTCTCCTTTAGATTTTTCAACCAGGTTTCTGTAGCTGTGGGTTTAACACTATTTTGCCTTCTTCATTCCTCCTCCTGCTCTCTGTTTCCACCTTGTTTTAAACATCCATTTACATAGCAACTTGAAAAGATGTAAGAGGAGTACTGGAAGCAATGTACTGCTCTTGTCACGGCAGGGTTACTCTCCCTTGTCTGGAGAAAATCCTTGAAGTTCCACCTCAATAGTGTATTCGTTCAAGAACTAGACTGATGTATCATAAAACAGTGCTCTTGTTCCTATTATTGCTGAAATCCTAGTACAGCACTTTCTGAGAATTGCTTATTTTTTTAAAGTTGAGCAGATCGTCCTGCTTGAAGACTCAAAACAGTGACAGATGATTTGTCCCTTAACGATTGAAATATATTTATTACTATTCCAATTCAACAACCTATTAAAAATATGTAAAGTGAGCTTTGTTTGAAGCCTTCTTTTATGGCAAATAGTAAGTGCAGGAGGTGGAAGTTTTTTTGATCTTAATTTACTTGATGTTGGATAATTGGCACTAAATATTTGACCCTGACAGCAGAGCGTTTAAGTTCTTAATCCTTAAAAGAAATATTTATCATCTATAAATGGATCATCTTCAGTCATCACTAACTTAATTGGTATGATTTAGAACTGCCAAGGAATATTACTGTTTGGTAATAGAGTAAATATTACAGGCACGAATTTGCATTCAGTCTGCATACTAATAACAATTCTAAGCTTAGACTGCAATTTAAAAATTGTAACGAACTTCTCAGAGGGAATTTGAGAGGAAAAGTGTGTTTTTGAGATGGTAAAGTGAGATGATAAAACTGGAATTTGAATATGTGAAACAGACCAAAAATAAACCAAAACATTTGTCAGCAAGTAAAAGGCAAAGCTATTGCAAAGGTAGTACACGTTCCCCCATAATATGCTGCATGTCTGGACTTCCTCTTCCCTGAGGATGAGACATGAACAAACAGCTCCAGAAGAAGACTGTTCTAAAACTGCTGTTTAAGTCTTTATTCATATATCTCTGATTTGCTGGAGTGTCAATATATTGGCAGTATTTCAATAAATGATATCTCTTTGTTTTTTTCCCTTCACATGGCATCATCAGATGCATAAATATTTTTGTTTTGACACAGTAACACTACACTGGAAATAAGGTAAAATCAGGGATAATTGGGGAGGATTTTTACTAGCCTGAGGCTAGTAAGACTTTCAAAAGTGGCTACTACTACAGTGCTGATCTGTGCTTTTTCTTTGTGGTTTTCAAGACAAAGTATTAATAAGCTTTCACTTTCACATAATGGAGCAGATAGCATCAGAAAACAAACAAGAACAGGGGAAGACTGTGATGAAGTACTGGGGGGAAAAAGTATCAGAAAGAAAGAATGAGGCGTGCGCACAAAGTGTGCACAATAGAGATGTGATTTCTATGGCCGGATGCAAAACAAATTCCTAAGTGAAATCTCACTTAAAAATTCACCCCTTGGGTGAATGTGGGTGCAGTAGCTGCCCTATCATTTGAAATAAGTGAAACAGCTACGTTCCGTTGTGGCTCCAAGATAGCTGAAACGGCAATTTCTACTCAAAGTGTAGGGACACGTGCCTGAGTCTTCCCCTTTTACACCTTCCCCCCCCACCTCAAACAGATGCAAGTAAGTAGCAGGAGAACATTCTTGTTTCCACTATGCATGTTGGAGCGTCTGGCCATGAGAATGAGCTCTTGGGGGCTTATATTGGCAGCAAGCGGCTGGAAGTGGGAACAAAGACGTTGCCTTTTATTGATTGATGCTTCTGTTCGGAGGAACAGAACTTTTTACATTTTCATTTATAACATCTCTTCCCCCACCCCCACCCCAAACAAATAAAACTTTCCAAACAACACAAAGGGATTGTATCAAAGCAGCATTTCGCTCCAGAACCAACTTCTCTCCCCAGCTGGAGTAACCAGCAATACCCAGTTCTGTTTCCCTGATCGTTCTCTTCGAACGATCCTCCGCACGATTGTATTGCCGAGCATGACAAATTTGATTTGGATGAGGCACGGGAACCTAACTGTATTGCTTTTGAATAGCTAGAGTATGCAATAGAGATTATGCTGACATTTTGTGCTTGTTATTAAGGTGCAGACAATACCTGATCAGGTATAAGGCCTGCTATTACAAATATTATCCCATAATAGCACTTTGGCCATCTTTGGCCTAGCAGAACACATTTATACTATACTGGTGTTTTGCATTCTGTGGCTGAGGCATTTCTGAGCCAGGACTAAGAGTCTTGAAGTCAAATTCACTGTGTCATGAAACCACGACCCAAAATTTTGGCAAACCATGCAGATTACAAAATAGATACAACAGCAAGAATTCTTGATGGGATAATTTAGCATGGAAGAGAAAAATAGGGAGAGGATGGAGTAGAGAGAGCTCACATAATGTCAAAATGATCTGCCTTTGAAACAATCTATAAATACACTGCAAGCCACTTGCAAAACCACCACTATCACCATCGCACTGGCATTTTATATATTAATAGGTGGCAGATTAAACATATGAGCAGTTGCTCAGGATAACTTGGGGTCATATTGCTTAAAGTCTGTGTCCCAGTACTTCTTTCTGGGACATGCTGCTAATATTTTCCCCACTTTCTCTCTTTGCCTTAGTGGGTTTTTTTTTTGTTTCTTTAAGATAAGAGTCCATTGTTTCTGATTATTTGAGAAGATATTTCTGTTCCTCTGTTTTTGATATGGGAGCAGAGATTAATTTCTAAATGCTGCTTCCCAATGACTCCTATACTGTTTAGTTTTGAACTAGGTCTTGAGGCTCATTTGCTTTAGAATGAGGTTGTTTGCTCTACTGATCTAGAGGTTAGTGTCACTGAGGCTTTGAGGCCTTGAGAAGAATACTCGAGATGGTACAAATGTGAAAGGCAAGAGGACAGATAAGCAGATACTTACTGTCTAAAAAGAAAATAAGGACTGGAAATCTTGCGTCTGTAACACTATTGAAAAGCAAGCCCCTCTTTCTTTTACGTTTGCTAATAGTTTGGTGTAGTCCGTTCCTGAAAGCTTTTACTGACGTTACCCCCCCCCCCAAAACTCGTATGGGACAAATTGTGACATTACATATAGTGATGGTGAAACAAGGAAATGCCAGGGTTAGATACCTCGTGCAACCATGCTGGGAATTTACAGCAGAACAAAGAATAGGATCCAAGTTCTGAATTGCAGACTGGTGTTTCAAACAGTATCTGATAAAATCTTATGAACGTGCTTGCTGAGGTACACGTCTTATTTCTTTTTGTTAGAGATTTATGATTTAAAAATCAGGTGTTCACGCACTCACTAAAACTGAAGGAAAGGAAGGTTACCACAACTGTGCAACACTCAAGAGAGCATCTGTGCTGCCAACCAGATGCTCAGTAGCTTAATGAGGTTCAAGTCCTTGCATGGACCCAGAGTGTGTTGCCTAAAGCAGTGTGAATCCATCCAGCCATTGCTTTCCCAGTACCATTCATAAAAGGCATATGGATCTTCTCTAATGTCTGATCTCTTTTATCCCCCAGAGTATCCAAGTATTACAGTATGTAACGCTGTACCATTTTTTTCTTTGAAAACTATACTTTAAATTTGTCAGAAAAACATTGGCTTGTTCCTGAAGTTCTGTTACATATAGAGAGACATGATATAATCTGCCATCGCTAAGGTCATAGATCTACTATGCTTTGTAGAAATAGAATTTTGGTATTTTTTTTTTCCCTTAAACCTTGTAAATATTAGGATTTTTTTACACAGTACAAGTATAGCCTATCCCATATCCATTCCTACCTTGATGACGAGACAGAGATTTTAGCCAAATATCACCAAAATGGGAAGGAGTAGAGGGAACGCCTGCTTTACTGCAGGTGTCAGCAAGCTTCTGTAGGGGTGCAAAAACCACGTGCAGGCAGATTTTTGAATGGCAAATAAGAGCTGGCACAGGGCCAAGAGCCATGACATATTGAAAGAGGCATCTGTGAAAGGCTGAGGATCCCAGTTCCTGGCTGTCATGGTGCTGCAAACTCAGTGGCAGCTGGGAGCCTCTGCCTTGGACAGAGGCAAGATGCTGTCAAGAAGGTGATTGGCAGTGTCTCTCTCTTTTTAAACACAGCATAAAAAAAATGCTGAGTTTATACCAGCATGCTAACCATCCAATCTCGGAATTAAAAATACAATCTGGCATGCCACTCCTGAAATGTAGCAGACCCTTTGCAGTGCTAACAACATGGCAGAAGGCACTGGGATCCCTTAAATTAATCCCATATTCAATAATCATGCATAACTAAAAATTATCTGTTCTGTGTATCAGTTCGCCAACTCTCTGTACCTCAAAGAGTTGTTGTTAGGATGTTATTTGATATGTATAAAGCACCTGGCTATCTCAAAAAGCATTACGCACGGGTACTACTCATCTGAATAGAACTGGTTCTCCTTTGTAGAACGGTTGTTTCTAAAAGTACATTCAGAAATATGTAGTTACCTTCTGCTCAGTATCATCAGATTGACTTATATAAAATAAGCAGAATTTGCCTGATAGTTCTTGATTGCTCTTAAGAAAGCTTTATATGTATACATGCATTTAATTTCAAGCATCCAATTTTCATTTCTTATACATGATTTATATAAAGACTGAATGAGACCTGATCAGTACATAAAAGTTTTGCTGGGACAGGAATACATAATTTAAGGGTGAAGAATGAAATCATGCTCCTACCATGTTAGCAAACACAGTAGAAAAGACAGTTATATTTGCAAGAACTCCTTTTACTGATTAAAAACTTCATCTCCATTTAGAAAGTCTGCATACTGTCCCTTCATCTAGACCAGCAAAATCTTTCGACACTTAGTATGAAAGTCACTTTTGTAATGGCAAATAAAAATAACCCATTTCGATTAGTCTGTTGTCCCAAAGATAACAAGGATCCCAAAGGATACTAGAGGACATTATACAAACACACACATAGAGCAACTCTACAAAATTTCATACAAACAAAAACACAGAGCAATTCTACAATATTATACGTGGCAGAAAAATTATCATCTTGTCAAAAGTACATGGAAGATTAAGGGAAGCAGAATATCCTGTATAGACAGATTGGATGTAACAATGTACATGTTTCTACTACTGCAAAAAATGCTGAGTGATTTGTAATGATCAGTTTCTTTTTACTCTCCTCTAAAAGATAGCACCTTTATGCCCTTCAGCAGAATTGTATGATAGCCTGATATTGAGAAGTAACAGAATGAATCACCAGCATATCCAGCTTGTGTAATATTTTTCTTTAGTGTGTACGTAGAGAGCCCAATGCAAGTAGTGACCTCAGTCTGACTTAAGAAGAAATCACTGCGAGAGCATGACAAAACAGGGCACAAGAAGGCATGAAAGCAGCTCTCTGGAGAAATGTAAAAGACACTCTTGCACCAATGATGTGCCAGTCTTGGAACTCCATGCAGCCTAAGCCTACTGAAATATTTGTAAACTGGAGTGACGGGGCGGGAGCATGCATTGGAATGAGGTCTGGAGCTGAAATGCTGTGGTAGAGACAGCAGGAGAAGTGTGCTATAAACTGGCTGTGATCCTCACATTAAAACAACAAAAAAAGAGTTTGGAAACATTTTAATGCCAAAACATGTGACATCTTTCATTCCTGTTTTTCTTTTGTCCTTAATTTTCCATTTAATCAAGTGATTCAAACTTTTCCTATTTGTGCTACCAGTTGTAGAAGCTGTGTGGCCCTAAAGGCATTTTTATTTTGCGCCGTTCTATCCTGACAAACTCCTGTTTATACAACAGCTTATACCTTTAATAACACCAGTACAACTGCATCAATACGAAAAACCATATTTCTTAGCATCAACAAGGCCTGAGAGAACTTGCTGCAGCGCTGGGATGTGGCAGGAGGCAATTTATAAGGAATTAACTCTGACAGTCACTTTATACAGCTGATTTTCAAAGATCTGGGCACTAAAGATGTGTTAATGAGGCTACTGAGGCTTCATAATTAATTATATTAGCATCTCTTTGTCACTCTCTAGAACAGTAGTGCCTGGCTGACATTTCAATAGGAGTCTGGTAGTATTCTTTGTCATTATTATCCAGGAGTACAGTTATACCTTAGCTCCCAGAGGGCAACGTTGCATGTAAATGCCTCTGTGAATTGCAAGAGTCTTTGGATCTCAGTAAAAGCCCTTGAAGGAGACCCTGCTGGATACTGAATGGATGTCAGTAAAATTTCTCTAGCCTGGAGCCTCTCTTCAGATAGGGACTCTCCTCCCCTTTCATTTCTCCCTTCCCTTCCCTCCCCCCTTCCTTTCTACTGAGCTGGTCCTTCTCACAAGGCTTAAGAACAGCAAAATCCAGTATTTTCTGAACGCTTAGTTCCAAACATCTAGAGGAAGGAATACTGACCTGAACAAAACAGTGAACAAAATAATCTGAAAATAGGGCATATTTTCACATGTTTGAATTTCCAGTGCAGTAAAACTAATGCTGCCAGAAGGGATCACAAAAGTGGTGAGTCAGATAATAGATGTACAATTGTGGTGGGAGGGAAATGGTCTCCTTTTTTCTCTCGCTCTTTTTTTTTTTTTTCCAAATAAGTTTTGCCCCTCTTTGTAAATGTAGATGAAATTATTTTCCAGTCATACCACAGCAAAAACAAACATGGAGTTGAAAGGTATTTCCTTTGTACGCTTCTGAGAGTAGTTATTTCTGAATCCAAAAGGGGAAAGATGACCTTGTCACTGGTGTGATATTCTACTCTGAAAACTTTTACATCCCCTGAGAGGACAGTTCTGCTATTTCCATATATTAGTATGTTCCACTTGCCTTGTATTAATTTAAACAAAGCAAACAAAAATGCTGGTTTTCACACTAGTTACAACTGCAACTTTGTCAGGGTTAGGCTAAGTTAAGGGCACAGTTTGTCAAACGTTTCCTCTAAGTAAACGAGACTTGGGCAACCTCTTCCTTACCCTTTTCTCATTTACTCTTGCCTTCAAGCGACTTTCTTTTTTCTAACACTGTTCACGCACCTGCAACTGGTCTGAGTTAAAAACAGATGTTTTTAGGTGGATTACTTAATTGAAATCAGTTTCCTGACTCGGTTTAACGTGGGGCTGGACAAAAAATCACGCTAGCACAATTTCAGGGATAACGAGACAGGGAAGAGAGGAGAAATGTACGGTGGGGAACGCATAGGCAGGGACTTCTACCAAAAAATGTTGTCCAACTATGCCCTGAAAGGCTAAACACTCTTCCAAGCCAGAACTATTGTTCTATGTTCAGATAGCACCTTGCACAAAGGGATCTTAGTCTCAGAGCTCTCAGGACTCTCACAGCTATTGCAATACCAAGAAATAATAAGTGTTCCTACAGACTGACACAATTAACCAAATTCCACTTGCAGATCTTCACTGCTGGCAACATATGCAGCATTTTACGTAGTCGAAGTTGGAGACTAGCTCTATTCCAGAGCTCTGTCTTTGGCTCTAATGAGGACATTAAGTTAACCTATGAATAAAATAATTACTTCCCACAGAGCTTTTTATATTTAACTAGATTTTTTTAATGTGCTTTGACATTCTCAGGTAAAAGCAATAATATGTACAATGTATTCTTATAGCAAAAACCTGTACATTCCTACATATTCTCCTCTTTTTTTGCTTCACCTTTTCTATCACTATATTCCTACACAAGACTCAAGATGCACTGCAAATGTTTGAATAATGCCAACTTGAAATTAAAAAATTGTAAATAATGTCCTCACTCTTCACTGAGCAATGTTCTGTGTGTTTATTTTAATCTAATATTTCCTGGATAGAAACAGATTACTCCCCTGAGAATGCAAATATCAATAGTTTCCCTCCATAACAAGGGAAGTTTTTCATGATTCCCACAAAAAACAGCAGCCTCTTGGTAACAGGGAGAATGCATAGGATACGCACAGAGTAAAATTTTAGTCTTCACTGCTACTTATGAGGGTCCAAATCCCAAGGTGTTATTCAACCATGTTCAAAATTCAGCATTAATTTTCCTGTTATAAGACTGAGGAGAAGAAAAATAACTCTGGCCAATTCCTGAAAATCTTAAAATCCTGGAAAGCAAACATAAATTCTATTTGTGGAAAACCTGGCTCCCTCTTAATTTTCCCATGAGTGGAGAGGAGGGAGGGACTCATTTGAAAGTCTCCTTGCAGGAAAACCTGCAGAAAAACAAAGTAGAGTTTGCCCCAGACCTCTACAGTGTTCTACCTCCTACCACGTAGTTTTCCTAAAACTTCATTTCAGCATTCATACAAAGTTGTTATACTGTAACTTTTACCCATGTTGATCTGTATCTGCTGTGTTTAGTTAGAAAGACTCCATCTAGCACTAGACTTCTGCCCTAGCTGTGATGAAATTATACCTTTCTTGAGACAGAACACCACCGAAGAAAACAAGACTAGTAGCTATTACCCCAGGTGAATTATGTCAGAGCCTTCCACGTAGAAGGGTGGCTGGCCCAGCTATTCCAGAATAACTCCTAGTATAAATATTGCAGTATTCCAGTTTGAAAGTGTCTTTATTTGCGACTGATCGTTCTATTTAGGAATACCTCTTCTTCTAAGCGGTCCGTTCTGCCAATAAATTCTCTTTAGAGTGTTCATTTAGGAAGGTGTGTAGTAAAATAGTCTATAAATAACCTAAATATAAAACCAACCACAGCAGATATGATGTAATCACCAGATGATTCCAGGTAAACAACTTGTTCTTCATGTATTTACTATGAAACTGTTCAAGCTGTATTAAACTTGGTTACCAAGTCTTTCATTGTCTCAGTACAGGATGGATTGGCCCTAATGCTGTCCTGCAAAACTAGTAGTTGTGTAACGCTACTGCTAAGGTTAGAACATCCCTTGGTGTGAAGGTATCAATAAAATCTAAGCATCTGCCCTTGCAATACCCTGCAGGTGTTGCAGATATTGAAGGGCCACACTTATATATGCCATTTCCTGTTTTCAAACAAAAGCTTTTGTACATTTCAGATCCTGACTGGGACTGCGGACTCCCCTCAGGCAAAAGGAAATGGAGGTCCACATCTGGAAGTGGTGGTAACACATTTGGGCACATTTGATATTTAAAGATTTTTTTCCTTCTAAAAACTGCAGTTTAATACTGCTGGATTAATAACAGCATCTATGTATGGGTCTGATGGCACAGTCAATCAATAGTTACAGATGCAGGGCTTCATCTGAGCCAAGAAACAGGACAACATAAATGTTTGAGTTATAAAAGCTGAATGAAAGTCAAGAAGGCGGAGAACCTCTCCGACCAAATGACTCTTTGGGCAGGGACTCTTAATTTCACAATACAGAGTATAACTTAATAGTGAATTTTCCAATAAACAACTTTACCTTCTATTCTGGAAGATACGGATCAGTTCCCTGCACTATTCACAACTGTACACCATTGTCACAGCAGTGCAGATGGCTTATGTGAAAAATGAGTAAACCACTCATCAGTACCTTCGTATCCTAAAAGCTTTTATCTCAGTGTCTCGGGTTTAATTGACTTTGAATTTCATTCAGTAATTTTTTAATATTTTGACTGCCTCTTTATGTCTCAAGCATCTGGGCACAATGAGAACAAGTGTTAACATGACCATCTAGCTCTCCACAGATCATAGGCAAGTGCTCTGCTAAGTTAAAAATGTTGGTATAGGAAGAATAAAAATCAGTTTTAGTTAACTGTCTAATGAGAACGTAAAAAAAAAAATTCAAAGAGAATCATGGGATTTATTAACGATATGATATTAGTCACTCCCTGTTGTCTGTGTTACTGAATCACCATGCTGCTTGAAAGGCAGTTATCAACCCAGAAATATTTTCATCCAAGGGTTTAGATTGCAACAACTGTGAGGACACGTGGAAGATTCTTCAGTCATTATCTAACCATTCAGTCCCCGTGTGAGTGCCTGACTGGGAAGGTCTGTGACTAGTGGAGATGAATAAACAGTTGGAGGGGAGGTATTTGCCTGTTTAATATTTGTGCCAAACTGTCTTTCCAGGGTCACGGAGACTCGGCAGTTCCTGGGGACTGTCAAACTGATTACTCGCAGCAAACCAGCCGGAGCGTCTCTGCCTGCTGCTCAGAGTAAGCACTGATATGCCAGTCAGACTTTTCTATCAAGTATATCCTTATGTGTTCTTGAGCTGTTTTGCGGCCTTCACCTCACTGGAGTACTAAGTAATTTTAAAGCTTTCATACACTTTAAAAAAACCAAAAACAAAAACACCACCACCACCCACCACCTTTTGTCTTGCATTCAAAGGGGGAGGAATCTTTGTTCCTAGTATATCGCCTGAGCCTAGAAGTTCTTTGTGGAGGACTAGGCCCCTAGCATAAATGTATAATTCTTAAGCAGTTGTTTGCATTTCAGCAGCAGGTAAAATGATCCTTGTTTTATATTTTTCTACAATAATTTCTGGAAAGGCTGCGAGATCTTGGGGATGGAAGGCTCTATAAAAATGTAAGTTGCTATTAATTATATTGACTTGCATGACTTTACATGTGGCTATTTTGCATGGCAAATATTTAGAAGGAAATTTACTCCTTTCTTCACACATCGTTATATTGTATTTGAGAGGATTTAGCACATTTTCCTATTTCACTGGCCAAATCAGAGGTCTGTGTTTAAAATTCACAGCTGACTTGACATTCCAGAAGCTAAGCATGATTATGAGTTATGTCTCTGTCTTCTAGCAGCACACCTAGCTAAGGAAAGAAATACCGTGAGAGTTCAGCTTTTAGATTAAGGAGCAAATCTGAGATAGCCTTTATGAAAAGGCTTTGTTTTTTCCATTCTTGAGAACGTGTACGATTTTATCTTATTTTGAATCAATTAGAGCAGGATGGTAGTTTCCTTGTCCTGGCAAAAATTCAGTACAGTGACTATATTCTTATTCTATAAGTCCCCCTGAAATTTCAGCTGGAGAACCTCTTTCTCTACTTCCTATCTTTAACTGAAAAATAAGATTGCTGTTCCATGTCATGTTCCACATATCAGCAACAAGTAAAGTGACTTCTGCAAATACATTTCCCTAATTTGGAATCCTTCAGAATCAAAATAATTGTATACATTTAAGATATTCCTGCGACACTCTACGTGAATTCTAGAGCCATTAATCTTGATCAACTGCCCCCCCAAAACCCCAGATACCTATAAAGGAAAAGAGAAACAGATTCTCTTCACTTGTCCGACAAAGTCACTGCCATCCTCATGGCTGCAAAGCTCTAACTCCCTTACTTGTAAACACTGGAGTACTCTTGCACTGAGTTTGAAAGATACCAGATACAATTTATTTTTGCAGCTTTAACCATTACATCAGCACATCCCCTAGATCATAGGAGTGGAGCTGTACATTCTAACCCCTCGACAGTTATGTAAGGACTGAAACTGCCTTAGAGGTCAGTTGCAGGTAATGAAAAATATCGGAAAGCAGTGAAAGGAGGTGACTGAATATTTGTATCGATTAAAGTATTTATAGCTTTAGTAGTTATTTTTTTTTATAGCATCAGGGATATTAAACACATAATTGCATATTAAGTCTAAGTGCCATGTGTTGTTTCTGGGAAAAGCTTGGTAAAACAGCAGATAACTCATGTAACGCGAAGGCTTTATAGTACCTAGATGCCATTTTTCTTTCTTTTTCTAATAAAACTACATGGATTTTCCAGATACCTATACAGAAGAACGGTTTCAGACTGAGCTGAGAGTTGTGCTGCTACTTGCTTCCTCACGAATATTTGAGTCATGTTCCTCCTGAGCGTACGTGTTAACAATGCAGCAAGAACAAACAGTAAATCAATTCAGCTGCAAAAGCTGCTGTGTGCTCTGCTCATATCCTTCCTAGGGCTCGGAAACTATTCTCAGTGGCTTAGTTCTACTTCTTTATAGAGATATAAAGGAAGACACAAAAAGCTACTGACCTGTTCTGGGAAGAGAGTGCAGAAAGGGCATTAATCTGTGAATTGTTGTCAAATTCTTTGAGCCAGATCTCAGGAGCATGCAAGCACCTGTTGTTTTGAGACATTTAATGCAATGTACCCAGAACTTAGACCACAGTTGAACTCTTTAAGTGAGGTTCTCTTTCAAAAAGCAGAAAAGACAGGCTGTTTAAGTAATTTTAACTGGTCAGTTGGAGTAGAAGGACGTATGACTGGAGAAATTGTATTGATGGTAACATAACTTTTCTGACAGGAAGAAAACCGAGGAGGAGTTAGGACAAAAGTTTTATTAGGAAGCTGAAAACAGCACATTACAAATGCTAAATGAAAGCAAGCAAAACAGGAGAGAAAGTAACACAGTGAAAGAACAGTCATTCCTCTTAAAAAGAAGCAAAAGCTTTGCTTTCTCTTACTGCCATGGAGAGCATGGGTTTGCATTTTCTTTCTCAAATAAATAAAAGTTGACTCCTTTCTAATTAATGCATTCTGTTTTCTCATATAATAGCTAGTTTACGGCAAGATAAACAAATCATTGGGTTGTTTTAAACACTATGGCAGTTAAGGTTCAAGATTCCTTGATTTCAGATACAGCAATAGAACATCCTAATCATATACTTCAGAAATTCCTAGTAATTTATAGAATAAACAAAGGAGTCTAGTAGGGAGCAGGCAGATGCTACTTTGATCACGATATTCCTGCTTGAAATTGGCTTTCAAATATAAGGCCCGTACCTTCAGATATTTGTGGTCCTTCACAGACTGATCTAGAGAATACAATAAATAGTATATTGCAGCTGATAAAAGAGGGGGGGGAAAGACAGATACAACTGCATAATAGAGAGGCTTCCGGGACACCTGAAGGAAGAAAACCACATGAGCTTACCTTTCTTTAAATGTAAAGTTATCCATATTCATCAAGCTTGGGAGATGCAGACAGAACATGAGAGAAGTTTTTCAGTGTGATGAGTTTCAGGGAGGCCTGGAGACAGGTGCTGATAATTTTGCATTTCTAACATTGCAGTGCTTTGCTTACCTTTTGCATCCAGCAGTTAACAGAGCTCATTGCAGAAATTACTGCTGCAGGTGAAAGCACAAAGAACTGACGGATGGCAGTTCCCCACTCCTGCTATTTGCATGGGGAAGCACAATATGAATTGCGGACATGCTGCAGCAGTGGTGGGTGGCAACGGAAGCAAAGACATAGCCGGTGGGAAGTGACAGCTGGGAAGACAAAAGGAAAAGCAATTGGGATTTGGAAGCAAGCACCAACTGGGTTTTTTAAGGCAGAAACAACAGGTGGGAGTAGGAATTAGAAAACTAGAGTAAGACGGCTGAGGAGGCAGGGAACTAATCCAGGCCTTATTGAATAGCGTACTGAAAGGGCAACTTGAAGAGGCGGCAAGGAGAGGAAACAGAAGAAGGAGAAAGAATATAGTCCGACTGGAAAGCTAACCACAAAAGGCAAGTTCCTACTTTGTCAAAGCTGCGCTGGTCTCTTAGCTTTATCATATTCATCTGGGAATGATATGCTGCATTTTTTTGATACAAGAGCGGCTCAGCTGCTACTTTGAGTGCAAAACAGACCTAACTCTAACTATGAAGCTGCAATGAGCTCTTCCACGACAGGTGGACAGGAAAGAGGCAAAAAGGGTTATTTTAAGTCTGCTAGCTCTTGGTGTAGTGGCAGGTGTGCTGGCAGGCGGCTGGGCTCAATGACCTTCTGGCGTTGCGTTCCCACACTGACCGAGTGGGCTGGCTGTGACTGACGGGGCCCCCGTGCCCTTAAAACGTAGCCGTAACATCTGAAGTTATCACCTTGGGTCGTGTTCCGGCTCCAAGAGGCAGCGGTCGGCTTTCCGCCCCG